AAATCCTGAAGGAGAATGTCCGGCCATCTGTTCGTGACCTCAAGCTGAAGCGCACTTGTGTTCTGCAGCAGGACAATGATCCAAAACACACCAGCAAGTCCACCTCTGAATGGCTTAAGAAAAACAAAATGAAGACTTTGGAGTGGCCTAGTCAAAGTCCCGACCTGAATCCGATTGAGATGCTGTGGCATGACCTTAAAAAGGCGGTTCATGCTCGAAAACCCTCCAATGTGGCTGAATTACAACAATTCTGCAAAGATGAGTGGGCCAAAATTCCTCTACAGCGCTGTAAAAGACTCATTGCCAGTCATCGCAAACGCTTGATTGCAGTTGTTGCTGCTAAGGGCGGCCCAACCAGTTATTAGGTTTAGGGGGCAATCACTTTTTCACACAGGGCCATGTAGGTTTGGATTTTTTTCCCCCTTAATAATAAAAACCTTCATTTAAAAACTGCATTTTGTGTTTACTTGTGTTATCTTTGTCTAATATTTAAATTTGTTTGATGATCTGAAACATTTAAGTGACAAACATGCAAAAAAATAAGAAATCAGGAAGGGGGCAAACACTTTTTCACACAACTGTATGTATGTATATGTGTATATATGTATGTGTATGTGTGTGTATATATGTATGTGTATATGTATGTGTGTGTATATATGTATGTGTATGTATATGTGTGTGTATGTATGTATATGTGTATGTATATGTGTGTGTATGTATATATATATGTATGTATATATATGTGTATGTATATGTGTGTGTATGTATATATATATGTATGTATATATATGTGTATATGTATGTATGTATATGTGTGTGTATGTGTGTGTGTGTGTGTGTGTGTGTGTGTGTGTGTGTGTGTATGTATGTATGTGTGTATATATATGTTTGTATGTATATATGTGTGTGTGTGTGTGTGTATATATGTGTGTGTGTGTGTGTGTGTGTATATATGTGTGTGTGTATATATATATGTGTGTGTGTATATATATGTGTGTGTATATATATGTGTGTGTATATGTATATATGTGTATATGTATATATATGTGTGTGTATATATATGTGTGTATATGTATATATATGTGTGTATATATATGTGTATGTGTATATATATGTCAAATTACTGTTTTTGTTAATGGAGTCTGGTGGCTAAGATAATATGTCAGGCGCATAGTTATAACAGTTGTGCTGTGTGTGTGTGTGTGTGTGTGTGTGTGTGTGTGTGTGTGTGTGTGTTCAGGTTGGAGGCGGGCTCAGCGCTACCTGTCAGAACCTGATTTGCTGATCTCCGGTCACATGTTCGGCCTGTCGTGCGTGAAGGAGAACTACTCGCAGACCAACGCCTCCACCATCTCTCACACCAACAGTCTGCTGGCACACACGCATGGCCTCAATCAGGTCCTCAGCGGGCTGCAGCTGAAGATCAGCCTGTTGCAGTGAGTACAGCGACGCGTCACGTGACTCTGTTTCTTCCGTCGATGTCTACGTTAGACTTCACACGTTCTGTTCGTCCGTCCTCAGCAGCAGCTCTCCGTCACACCCAGACCTGCAGCTGTGGAGGCTGCCGTGGTGGCGGGAGGAGGCGTCGCCGACACCGCCGGCCGGCCCGAGAGGAGAGACGCCCGTCTGTTACGTCAGCAGCGAGCACTGCTACCAGAAGCCCGGTGCATCGTGGGAGAAGGACGGGCTGCAGACGGCTGCAGTGAAGCAGGAGGACGACACGGAGCTCCGGGTAGAAACTTAAACATGTTGTTCTATAGTCACTTAAAGACCATGTCTACACTTTCACATACACATGCCTCAGCAGGCTTCCCTCATCCAGCATTCGTAGATAAAGCCACGAAAAATGTTAATGTTTATGACAAACAATCAATCACGGCTCTGAGCTTACTCACAATTAGCTAATGTTAGCATGCTAACACGCTAAACTCAGATGGTGAACGTTAGAGCTGCTGCAAATCACCAAAACCACTGCTTACTCAGTTCAGAGAAACGATGAATGAAACCAGCTTTTTAACTTCTTCTTCTTCTCTTCACGTTAATCGTGTGACTGGATGAACAAAGTGTGACTCGGCGGTTTTATTCGTGATCGTCTCGTGTTCGCAGCACTGAGCCGGATCCTGTTGCTATGAGACCGATGAGCACCGGTCTGAGGCTCTGGGGCTCATTCTGGTAAACGTAGAGCTATTTTTACCTGCTGCTGCTCTGAGAGTGAGAGTGTGTGTGAGGGATCTCAGAGAACGTTAGTGCTTTCATGTGCAATATCATGCCCGTTTCCTTTATCTTCTGCACTCACAGATCCCTCCGTCACATGTTGAACAATGACTCTCTTCCTGTTTGATTCACGGGTTCGTTCACTGGTGGTGATGATAGTTTTTACGTTGCAGGAAATAAAGGCTGAAGATGTCGACCAGAAACCGGCCGACGCCGCTGCTGACGCAATCAACATGGACAGACGCGAACACGCACACGCTCAGACGCGTCCGCCGTCCGAGTGTCAGCTGAACCTGCTGGAGCACGTCGAGTCTCTTCACCACCAGATCATCAGCAGGATGGACATGATCGAGAGAGAGCTGGACGGTAACATACACACACACGTACACACACACACACATACACACACGCACTCATATACACAAACACTTAAACACACACACACACCCTTTGAAGAAAGCACAGGTAACTGCTGCAGTAATACTAATACTCGCTCTCTGTCTCCAGTGTTAGAGTCCTGGTTGGACCACTCGGGCGAACTCGAGCCTCCGGACCCTTTGTCCCGCCTCCCACAGCTCAAACAGCGAATCCGGCGGCTGCTGCGTGACCTGTGCACCGTGAGACACCTGTCGGTCTGGCGCTGACCAAAAAACTCTTAAAACTTTTGGACCCCTGCAAGCGTCTGCCAGACAGACGGAGCAAACAGACGGACGGGCAGACAGACAGACGGAGCAAACAGACAGACGGAACCGACGGACAGACAGACAGACGGAGCAGACAGACAGACAGACGGAGCGGACGGAGCAGACGGACGGACAGACGGAGCAGACGGACGGACAGACGGAGCAGACGGACGGACAGACGGAGCAGACGGACGGACAGACGGAGCAGACGGACGGACGGACGGAGCAGACGGACGGACGGACGGAGCAGACGGACTGACGGACGGACTGACGGACTGACGGAGCGGGCGGACGGGCGGACGGACGGAGCGGACGGACGGGCGGACGGACGGAGCGGACGGACGGACGGACGGAGCGGACGGACGGGCGGACGGAGCGGACGGACGGGCGGACAGAGCGGACGGACGGAGCGGACGGACGGACGGACGGATGGAGCAGACGGACGGACGGGTGGAGAGCGAGTCAGAACTCTTTGAGAGAAGAACGGTGGTTTGATTCCACGCTGATGTTTTCATATAAAGTGACTAAACAGGTACCAGAACATTTGGTCAGGTGGTGACAGGATGGATTGTTGATTAGTTTTGACTCGTTAGTCAAAATGTTGCAAACACACATCTAAAGGTTCAGATTCTAAAAGACTTCAGTTCAAATATTTCCATGTTTTATAAGTCAGACATTTTGTAATTGTTCTGTATCCAAGTAGAGAAAGAAAGAGAACTTTTGAACGTGTGGTCATAGACACAGATTGAGTTAGTGCACCTTCTTTAGGTGAATGACCACTGACAGTAAAAGTCAGCTCCTCTCCTCTCTTTAGGTTCACGTCTCTGAACTCCAGCTTCTCTAACTTCTTAACGAGCAGCAACGCTTCACTTCTTTTATTTGTTGGTACCTTTGTTCCTCCGAAGGTCGTCTGTGTCCTTTTAACTGAGTGGATTTTGCAGCTAAAAGTTCTCAGTTTTTAATGCTGATGTGATTATATAGGAAAAACCTGACGTCATAGGAAAGCACAGAAACATTTTGAGGACATTCAGCGTGTCTTGACTACACAGTTTAGTCGTTTTGTGTCATTTTACGCCAC